TCTTTTCATCCATGATGACATTAAAGTCATCTGTTGCTGCTTCTGGTGTTTCATCGCTGACTGCCGCAATCGCGACACCCGCTCATTAGAACTTTCAGTGAGCTATTTTTAGAGTGTGCACGCGACGTTCCTGGACTCGCGCGTCTGCGTCCTGCTCGTTCCTGCCCCTCCGTGGCGATGACGGCGTGCGGTTAAAAAATCATAACAAATGTGAAAGTGTGGGGAACCCAAATGGAATTTTGAAAAGTGTGTGTGTGTGTTGGCGGGGGGGTGCTGTCCCCGTCCCCGTCCCCAGTGGAAATTACGCCCCTGTGTGTAATAGTCTGCAAGGTTGCAAAGGAACTTCTCTCCCGCATCCCACACACACGAGTGTCTACCCGCCCGCACCCGCATCCGCCCAAGTGTCCCGAGCCGCACTCCGCTATAGTGCAGGTCTCAAGGTGCCAGTTATAATGTTATGATGGAGGCTCTGGACTCTGAGCATAACTTGTTTTTCTATGAGAAACTATAAAATCTCTTCTATAAAAAGTTAATGCACTGGCAGTGGCAAATAGCTTGTTTTATATTTAATTTGATTACATTAATGTTATAAGTTGAGATTTACAATAAATATTTTAACTGCTACTATGCAAAAGGAACACTGCTGTAAAAAAGCACCTTATTTGTTTAAAGTGTTTGCAAACCAAATGTTATTGCACTTTTGTTCATATAGCAGTACTTTTAAATGGGAAAAGTGCACAATACACTACTTTGAATGCATTATTGAAACTTGGAGCATACTGCGATTAATCTTAAATCTTTTGAAAAGGTACCGACCAAGTGACAGCTTTTGTACCTTTTTTTCTGAGAGTGAACCTCCAGTGTTACTTTAAATCCATTTAGGGGAAACACTGGTTAGCAATTCTCAACACTTACATATGCTAATGTTGTGGTTGTTGCAAGCAGATCTTAACGGGGTCATATGATGCGATTTCAATCTTTCCTTTCTCTTTGGAGTGTTACAAGCTCTTGGTGCATAAAGAAGATCTGTAAAGTTGCAAAGACTAAAGTCTCAAATCCAAAGAGATATTCTTTATGAAAGTTAAGAGTCAGCCACACCTACCTAAAACGGCTCATTCTAACACGCCCCCACATATCTACATCACTATGTGGGAAGATTTGCATAACGCCACCCAAATGTTCACGCAAAGAAAGAAGGCGTAACTTTTATTCTCGCTGTAGTATTGTTGCCGCTGCCGCCATGTCCTGAAGACGCTGTGTGCTTCGTTGTGAAAGCGAAACTACTTTGTTTGGTCTTCAAAAAGAGGACGATGTGGATCGCCGGATCGGCTTTCACTGTGGACGAAGCCCGGAGTCGTCACATGTGCTTGCCGCTCCTTCGTCGGATCCGCCGGCCACGCCGTTCTTGACCCCGCTGCCTCAGCTCACTCTAACCCGGCCTCAGCTCACGCTAAGCCGGGGGTTCTGCAAGGCCGCTGTGTTTTTCTTTGTGAAAGCGAAACTACTTTGTTTGGCCTTCCAGTAGAGGACACGGTAATTATGTCCCCACTGGATGCAGCAAACGCCTCGTTTGTAATGGGTTTGAATGTTTTTGTCTCGTCGCTCCGGCCTGACATGGCATCAACAGTATGTGAGGGGCGTAACATTTCCGTCTCACGCTTGAGGTATTCGGCCAATCACAACGCACTGGATAGCTGGCCAATCACAGCACACCTCGATTTTTCAGACCGATGAGCTTTGTAAAAATCGATGCGTTTCAAAAAGGCGGGGCATAGAGGAGAAACAATAATGTACAGTATGTGGAAAATAATGTGTTTTTTTTTACTTTAAACCGCATAAACATATTTCATTACACCAAATACACAAAATAATGTTCTTTTTAGCAACATCATATGACCCCTTTAAAATAAACTATGCAGTAAGCAAAGGTATTGGTTACATACAACCTCAGAAAAGGGGAAAACCTGCTGCTTTGGCCGGAACAAAATCTTCTTTTCAGTCAAATAAATTAGCATGTTTGATGTAACAGTAAGTAAACGTAATTTTTTACAATCAAGAAATTGATTTTCAGTGAATAACCTACTTTTTTGCAATAACTTTGCAAAATATGCAAATTAAGGCAGAGATTGCTTATTTATCCAACAATATGTTGGATCTGTCAAGCGAAGAAACAGTATGACAGCCTAATTAAATGCTTTGTGAGTGAGTTGGACAAGAATAATGTTTGGCAATACTGTACTCACTAGTTTTATAACATTCGCATGCATATAATAATCTGAGGTGATCTCACATTGACTTTGCTACAGGATGTGGTAAAAATGGAAACCTGTTGCTTGAACTGAGGTAAGTAGCCCAGCATTTGACTCTACAACCTCAAAACACACTAATGCAAATGAAATTCTATCTACCCTCAGCCTTTAATGTTATCAAATGCATTACATATTACATTTTTCACTGTTTGGTCATAGCTGCATCACTTATCTGACAGTAGAGAATCACATGTCAGTCACAGGCAGCTAAATGACGAGTCACTATACGCTGTGAAATCGCAGCCCCAGGCCGCCACATGTAAGAGGCTGTGAGTGTGTGTTTACAGGAAGTAACATGTGAAGGTCATCAGCCTACACTCTTGGTCTTGAAACTTTGACATCTTGAGTGTCATGCATCATGTACATTTCACGTCTTTGGATATTTTTTGGTGCTTTGGTGTCTTCAAATGGTAGGTTCAAAATACCAGTATTTATGGTCAATTATAATATAGTTTATATGATATTGGGGACAAAATAAATTGTGATAATTTTGACTATTTATAATAGTATTAATAAATGTTTTTATGCCCGTCAATTTAAGCTCTGGACCGCTGGAATACAAGATGTATAGATGTCACCATCAACGCCTCTCTGAAATCTGAAGTCTTTCTCCCATGTCACTTTAATACAAGCTATTATAATGGAACATTGACAGTGAATTGGAGCCACTATCCCATTAATAACAGACTTGTAACGATCATGACTGATGGCAAAATCATCTTTGGAAGTCCTAGAGAAGGACGAGTGAATGTTTTCCCCCTTCTTTCTAAACATGGAAACTTCTCTATCCTCATCAATGATCTGCAGTCTTCAGACATTGATACCTACTTATGTCAGCTGAACAGTGAATGCTGGAGGGTGAAGATCATTGAAAGTCGTCCATACAGTAAGATCAGGGGTCTTATTGTCATTAATACTATATATAACTGCACTAGCATGCATTCAGGCAAATGTTAAAATAAATGTATACAATATATTTAACAAAACAACGGTTTCATTATTTCATTACCTTTTACATTCTCGCAGATGCATGACTTTTTGTGTTTAACAATTATATGTTCTAATTCACAGAAATATGCAGTTTAAAAGCATGTTCCAATTTGACAACTTAACCTATGTAGTGTGACAACATGCCAAGCAATAACTTTGGAGATATTTAAAAACATTTTGAAGACATTTTTTTTTTTTTGTATTTAGTATTTAAGTGCATGTACAGACATTAATATCTACAATGACAATTGTATATACATGTACATTTTGCAGACACCATGGTTATTAATCAAAACTGTATGATTTTGAAACTGTTACATTATAACTGTACATTATAATTGTAATTTTCTTTGTAGGAATCAGTGAGCAAAACCCCTGGTTCTACTTTGCAGCTGGAGCTGGATTGTTTATTCTCCTTTTTATTACATTCAGCCTGTTCTCAAAATTCTGTGGTGAGCATTGTTTCTTTACACTTTTTTTTTTTAGATAGTATAATTTTAACAGAATTTTTATATTTATTATATAAAATAAATAAAATAAATAATTTATGTATTTACTCAAATAAATGTTTTTTTTTTTTATTATTCTTAAAAAAAAAATGTATTCTCTTCTCATGGACAGGAAAGTGTGTAAATACATCATCCAAATCGAATCCAGTTAATGAAGTACAGAGTGAAGGTGCGCAGTATAACACACCTGATAAGTGCTTGATGTTCTTTGATGTTCTTCTTCTCTGGAGTTTCATCTATGAAAATCATTTTTAGGTAGTAATTCCCCTCAAGAAACACAGAATATTGAAAGCAGTGAACATAGAAACAAAAACAAGAGGGGTAAGAAACATCTCTTAAATGCTTTACTTACCAGCATATGGTCTTGAAAAACACACAAGATACACTTAAAAATCAATGCATGTCATTGCACTTCATACAAAATATTAATCCAAGGCTGCTTGGAACATTTGAGAGAAAAAAGTTAGAAAATGTGTTTTAACAATAATAAATAAAAAACAAATATGCATATTGTTTTCTTGGAGGGAAAAATTGCATTTATTTGATAAAAAATACAGTAAAAACAGTAATATTGTAAAATATAATTATACATATTATTACTTATATTATAAGGGTTTATTTAAAATATTTTGAAATGTAATTTATTCATGGCAAAGCAAAATTTTCATTAGCCATTATTCCAGTATTCAGTGTCAGAGTAAGATTAAAAAATAACAAAAAGAAAGAAATTACTACTTTTATTTGCATACAATTGATCAATAAAGACATTCATATCATTACACAAGATTTTTATTATTATTTTTTTTTTTTCAAATAAATGCTGAATTACATTTTTTTCAATTACATTTATTCATTTAGCAGACGCTTTTATCCAAAGCGACTTACAAATGAGGAATACAAAAAGCAATTCATTATAAAGAGGCAAAATAAACACAAGAAGTGTTGGTAATACAAAGTTTCAGACATCGATTAGAATAGAACCGGGAGGGACTAAGGACAAGTGAATCATGTCAATATATGATACATTGTTCCTGGTTTCATACGCACTATGCATTCCATTTTGGAATTTCAACAGACCAAAATCAGACCAAAATTTTTCTGGTCAAAGAATATATGATGTTATGATATGGTATTATTGATTAGAGTGCCTCAGAATAAACATTTTATTTGTCTGTTGATCTTATTTCTGAAGGTGTGAGGAGGGGCCCTACTGTTTATGGTATGAATGATGTATTTTGATTATTTTCACTGTGTGAACACAACATTTTTTTTTTCACTATGATTTTGTGTAAAATTATAAATGTATTTTTTTTTCATATCTAGAAAATGACATACATGCTCCAAATCAAAGTTCTGCTGTGCAGCCGGGGCAACATCCTCAGAGAGGTGAATCATCATTTTTTGTTTTTGATTTATTATATTACTTTACATGATAAATTATGCAAATCTAATTTTGAAAAAAAATTAAAAAACAGCCTTCAGAGCCGTTCCCGAGCCAACAAGAAGTCATCCTTCGGATGCAAAACCATACTACGGTAAGACAATATTTGTGCTTGAAAAAAACAGATTAACTGTATGTGCTAAGAATGGAAATAATCTCAACATCTGTTTGAAATATTTCAGTCAACCAGGCGGAGCTCTCCATTCCAGTAAATGCTGGCAAAAAACGGAAAAAACAAAAAAGTAATTACTTTTCATTGTTCTGAATTAAATGTCATTTATTTTGTATATGAATGAAGCTTTATTACATGGCACTTTTTCAGACCAATTACTGTAGCTAAAAGTGTAATGATATTGTTTTCTTTCATTTCTCCGACAGATTATCAGTTTAAAAATCCAATATATGCAGACTGAAGTGAGACTGTGACGACAGAAGTCAGTTCCACAGAATCCATAATACATGTTTCAGTCTGCATAACATCATTTTTCATTATAAACAGTTCAATATCTCAATGAATTCTGATGTTTAACAATGATTCATGTGAATAATTCATTTCATTAAAAAAATCTGTTTGTTAAGTGACATGCAGAAAACATTGAATGAAAATGTTATGCTTCAGAATTATTATTATCCTTCTGCCTCCTTTGCTTTGCATATTACAAACAACAGTTGATACTTTAGTTGGTCAGCAAACATGGTGATATCTTGTTGACATAGTTTTCAGAAATTAGCAAATACATTGTTTGATATTTTGATCTGGAGGTCACTCGTTTTCTGAACACAATTAGTCATAAAAATTCTCTCTTTTAAATCAAAATGATTTTAACTTGTCCAAATGTACATCTGGTAGCCTAATTAGCATTTGTTTACAGGAAGTAGCCTACAGAACTATCTGGTTATGAAGTGCTGTATGTTTTAATTAATTTGATACTTTATTGTATTTATTTTGAACATATATAATATGATGAACTCCAACCGGAATACACATTTGTACACAACAGCCGCTACTGTGAACACCATTGAAAGCCTACAGTGACCGCAGCAGTCATATGTCATCCAGTGCTGCAGGTGGCGCTAATGTGTTTTCGCGAGCTGTGCGTAAGAAGAGACGAGTTCAAACGCTAATGGAAACCATCCAACTGACAACTTGTAAACATGAAATAAGGTCTTCTGCGCCAGATAACGTGTGATTATGACTTATTAATATTCTGCTGAGCTTTAAGAAATCGCAAGAGGTGAAAAATACATTTGAGCAACGTTAGGAAGTGATAAACGGCACAGAACGGTCATAGACATGTCAAAATCAGAGAAGAGCAGAAAAACAGAGCACAATGAATCAAGAAAGCTGCCTATCTATCAGCACAAAGACAAACTCATTCAGGCAGTGAAGGAAAACACCTTCTTGATCGTAACGGGTGAAACTGGCAGCGGAAAGACCACTCAACTGCCTCAGTACTTGTTCAAAGCAGGTATGTATGAACATGACCACTAATGAACAGCAATAGACAGGCATGTTCATTTCCTGTGTGTCGGATCTATTCCTCTTAGTTACACTTTTGTACCTTTTTTACTTCTAAAGGGTGCCTATATAAATACCTTAAAAGTACATATTACTACCTAAAATGTACATATTACTACCTAAAATATGCATATTACTACCTAAATGTTATATATTAGTACGTTCCGAAAAGGTACCACTCCAGAGACAGCTTTTGTACCTTTTTTTCTGAAGTTTTGGAATATTCTATGCAGAAATTTCAATAATATACACTACCGTTCAGAAGTTTGGGGTTAGTACGATTTGTTCTTGAAAGAAATTTATGCTTCTGTTCAGCAAGGATGCTTAAAATGGATCAAAAGCGTCATTTATAATTTATAATTTTACAAAAAAATGTATTTGAAATAAATGCTGTTCTTTTGAACGTTCTATACATCAAGGGTCCTTGAAAAAAAGTATCATGCTTTCAACAGAATGTTGAACAGGAAAACAGAAATGTTTCTTGAGCTGCAAATCAATATATTAGAGTTCAGAATATCGGATTTCTGAAGGATTATGTGACACTGAAGATCTGAACTGAACTGACACTGAAGAAGTAAGGGATGCTGAAAATTCAGCTTTGCCGTCACAGGAATAAATTACATTTAGTTAGTTATATTGTATCACAATATTACTGTTTTACAGTATTTTGTGATCCTTGTTGACTTGAGTGTAAATAACATTAAAAGAATTTTACTTACCCCAAACATTTGAATGGTAGTGTAATATCATCATCATCATATTTCATATATGACCATATATTGTTGTTATTGACACTAAAGTTTGCATAATTTCAAGGCAGTACAACAAATATTACCACAATGCATAAACATATTTAATATATATATATAATTTTTTTAAATCATCTTTTTCTTATTGTAGCACTGAGAATTAAATAGTTTTGCATTATGGAATAAATGCAAATAAAAATCATGCCACAATAAAAAAGGGAACTTTTTCTTTAGATTTACACATTTAGTGATTTTTAGGGAGCAGCTAAAAGGTAGATGCTATTTAAGTTAGAGAGAAATGGCATCTTTGCTATTCTGGTAAAAGCTGCAAATAGCGATAAAAGCTTTTTGCAAGTGAATAAAAATATACTATTTGTATTTTTAAAGGTACATGGTCTGGGTTTGTGCAAGTAGCCTCTGCCAAAATTATGCTTTTAGTGTAATTAGTTAGTGTCATTTTTAATGGCTTTTTTTTCTCATATCAGGAAACTATGATTAAATACATGACAGATGGCTGTATGCTGAGGGAGATTCTTGCAGACCGCAGTTTATCACAGTACAGCATTGTGATCCTGGATGAAGCACATGAGAGGAGCCTGAATACAGTATGTGGACTATATATTTGCAATTTGTGGTTTTACTTGGGAAATTAGTTAAATTTTTGGAAGATGTTATAATTTCATATATATATAAATAAATATTGATTGTAGTTTCCTTGTACAAAAAAGCACTGCAGTGGTTCCTTGTTAAAGTGATGGAATCAGATGGTAATAATAACATGGTAATCCAATGTACTTAAAATAATACTATGGTATTACCATAAACAATGTCCAAACTAGGGCTGTGACGATAAATCGATGCAGAATCGATTCTTCCGAATGCATCGCGATTCTCTCTGGAATCGATTCTTAGCTTAGATTTTAACAGCAGATGGCGCTCTACTCTAGTTTTTATCCGCACACTCAAGTGCTCATGAAGAAGAGCGCTTGTGCATTCAGCTGAGTCTGTGGCTGTGACCGAAATCGCCCCCTATACCCTCTTTCACTATTCCCTACATTAGGTCACTAGTTCAGTTCACTAGAAGGAGTGAATGAAAACGAGTAGTGAATTCGGACACTGAGTGCACCGGAAGGAATGCCGCTTTTGCATAGTTTGTGCTTGCTGTTTATTAATCATTTGAAACTAGCAAACTAGCAGCTCCAGTAGTAAGATTAAAGGATTTATCTTGAACTCTGTCACGGAAATTGTATAAACCCTAATCAAACAATTTAATAATCAATTTACAATGAATTTATACCTGTGTTGTACATTATGCTGTACGCCATGGATGAGCGCTTTGTAAAAATGAACGGATTGATTATTCAGCTGCGGGCGCCATCTTCTGGCGAGATGCGGGAATTTATTCGGCACGTGACTCTCACGGTGCATCATGGGCATTCTCTAGCCGTTGAGCGTGCACCAGTTGTACACGCGTTTATGCAGTGCATTGTGGGATTGAATGAGTGCACTCGAGAACGTCCACTATGGTTTCGGACACCACTAAAAATGGCTGTTCCCTCAAATATAGTTATTTCGGACACAGTCTGTAATTTCACCTCGGCTCAGAATGCTTTTATGACGCCAGATTAATGTAAGCACAGCCCACTGTGAACACCCTTGTAAGTCGCTTCAACATTTTCGAATTTTATGAATGATTATTTTAGGTTCAAGTGCGTGTAAGGATTTGGAAACAAGCAGAGTACGGCTGTTTATAAAGCATGCAGCGCCATCTGCTGTTCAAAACTACTCTCAGAATCGACTCGAGAAAGAATCGCGCGCGATGTATTCGGAAAATCTCAGAATCGATGCGGAATCATTTCTCGATTCGCGATGCATCGATTTATTTTCCCAGCTCTAAAAAACACCTAGGTGATACTGTGGTATTTTTTATTTGTTTTGTATGTAGATATTTCACTAAATCTTTAATAAAATTGTTTGTTTTGCAGGATGTTTTGCTTGGGTTACTCAAGAAAACTCTGTCAAAAAGGTCCCATGGTCATAAAACCCCCTTCAAAGTGGTTGTGATGTCAGCAACATTAGAAACAGAAAAGCTCAGCTCTTTTTATGAGAACTGTCCTGTATTCACGATTCCTGGACGTACATATCCGGTCGAGGAGAAATTCTGTAATCTTATTGGCCCAAAAGACAAAGATAGTTCTGTCTATGTCAAAGAGGTGTGTTGGGACAATATACATTATTACAAACTTTTCTACAAATAGTCTGTTTGCAGGGAAACATGTTTGAATCCTCTAAGACTGTTCACAGACAGTAAATATGTTCTGTTTGTTATCCATAGGTGGTAAAGGTGACTTTAGATGTGCACACAAATGAAGCAGCCGGTGATATTTTGGTCTTCCTGACTGGTAAGTTCAGCGGAGTACACCACTGTTCAAAAGTTTGGGGTCAGCAAGATTTTTTTTTAAAGAAATTAATACTTTTATTCAGCACAGGCATATTATATGATCAAAAGTGACAGTAAAGACATGTATTATGTTACAAAATAATTAAATTAAATGCTGTTCTTTTAAATTTTCTATACATCAAAGAATCTTGCAAAAAAACAGAAAAGCTCAGCTCTTTTTATGAGAACTGTCCTGTATTCACGATTCCTGGACGTACATATCCGGTCGAGGAGAAATTCTGTAATCTTATTGGCCCAAAAGACAAAGATAGTTCTGTCTATGTCAAAGAGGTGTGTTGGGACAATATACATTATTACAAACTTTTCTACAAATAGTCTGTTTGCAGGGAAACATGTTTGAAACCTCTAAGACTGTTCACAGACAGTAAATATGTTCTGTTTGTTATCCATAGGTGGTAAAGGTGACTTTAGATGTGCACACAAATGAAGCAGCCGGTGATATTTTGGTCTTCCTGACTGGTAAGTTCAGCGGAGTACACCACTGTTCAAAAGTTTGGGGTCAGCAAGATTTATTTTTAAAGAAATTAATACTTTTATTCAGCACAGGCATATTATATGATCAAAAGTGACAGTAAAGACATGTATTATGTTACAAAATAATTCAATTAAATGCTGTTCTTTTAAATTTTCTATACATCAAAGAATCTTGCAAAATTTAATCATGCTTTCCATAAAAATATTAAGCAGCACAACTGTTTTCAGCGTTGATGATAATAAGAAATGTTTCTTGAGCAGCAAATCAGCATATTAGAATAATTTCTGAAGGATCATGTGACACTGAAGACTGGAGTAATGATGCTGAAAATTCAGCTTTGCATCACAGGAATAAATTACATTTTAAAATATATTCAAATAGAAAGTTATTTTATATTGTAATCATATTTCACAACATTACTGTTTTTACTGTATTTTGATCAAATAAATACAGCCTTGGTAAGCATAAGAGACTTTTTACTGACAGAAAAATCTTACTGGATTTAGTTTGTTTAACAGTAGTCAACAGATTTTCAGTGGTAAATAAATATACTTTTATTTCCAATATTCCTCTTTAGCTTATAGCTCTGTGCTTGTGTTTTAAACAGGACAGTCTGAAATCGAGAAAGCCTGTGATTTGCTCTTTGAGAAGGCTGAGATCTTAGACTACCGTTATGATGTCCATGACCAAACTGTTGAAGGGCTTCTAATCCTGCCTTTATATGGATCCATGCCAACAGGTCAGCCGGTCTTTAGATTTGTCTTAAAAGCCCTAAAAGAGTGAAATTTTGTGCATAATCACAAAGTGATCAATACATGTCTTATGATTTTTTTTAAATGTTTTTTACAGATCAGCAAAGGCAAATATTCCAGCCTGCACCAAAAGGTGTGAGAAAGTGTGTGGTTGCGACGAATATCGCTGCAACTTCACTCACAATTGATGGAATCAGGTAGAAACGAGTCGTACAATATTAAACAAGCATCAATTCCTCAATAAGTAAAATGGCAGATATCAAAAATGATGTAGTTATTCTCAGAGGAACTCTTGTAGTGTAACTTTTATTTTTTATTTTTTGGCTGTGTTGTAGCTATATCGTTGACAGTGGATTTGTGAAACAACTGAATCACAACTCAAATGTTGGTTTGGATATTTTGGAAGTGGTACCTATATCAAAGTAAGTGACCTGTGAAAATCTAGAATTTATTCATTATTTTATTATTAATATTATTAAATAATTTTTTACGTATAATGTTTTATATACTATATATAT